AGCATTACTCCAGAACTCTTTCAGCCAGACAACATACAAGCTGCAGTACTTTAGCAAGCTACTGTATACTCATCAAGCCCACCAGATATCACACAGAAAACCACTGTACATCTCATGCCGAGCTTCACTCCGTGAAGTGTCGCAACTGATATTTATATTTGTGTACTGCAGCTCTTCTAACGTATTTGCCCTCATTACTGGGAATCAATGTGAACAGCAGCGAAACAAAACTGCAAACTGCACTGTACCCAGCTTTTCTTAGTGCATTAAAGCAGGCAAAATCTATACGTTTGAGTAACAAACACCAGACTGGGAGATAGGAATGTCACTTGGAAACAAAAACCCACTTGAAGTGTGTACTTACCATTTCCGCGGCTGGGCGAGGGGCTTGTACTTATTATATTTCACTTTCCACTCCAGCACATCCTTGCAGTGCTGACAAACCCCATCATGGACCTTTGCATTTGCTTTCTGTGTAGGACAAAACAATAATAAATAATACACGTATCTTCATCATGCATTTTTAAATAAAACTGATCGTCTGGGCCGCATTTTTAAAGGCAGGTCTCGCACTGCACATCAAGTGTTTTGATTCCGATGCGGCCCACATTTCCAGCACCACCCGTACCACAATTCTTTCGAAGAAACAAGATCGAAGATCGACAAGGCTAAAAGGTACACACACTACCAGTTTCTTTTACTGACATCTAATTTGCACTTGTTCTTCAGACCCAAAACACAATCCAGCCATATTTGCGAGACCAAGCCTTGAAAACCAAAGGAGTCTAAATGAAAGAATAAGTAATAGGTTTATTCCATGCTGAAAAAAAAGGTGTGAGAGAGACAGGGCAGTAGGCAAAGGTAAAGTAGCGGGAGAACAAAGGCTGGGAGGGAGGAGGAGTGAGAGGCGGGAGCAGGGGACAGAAAGAGAGGCCAATCAAGAGGTGTGAAGTCAGAATGGGTGCAGAGAGATGTGAAATGAAACTTCCAATGAATGGAGAAAATTTAAAAGAACAGTAGTCTGTCGTTAAGGGAAGGGAGAATGTGTGATCCTACCTGCAGAATAATTTTAGTTTCAGTGGTCTTTCTGATGTATGAGTTCGGAAAACCGTCTTTGAGAACACAGACGGAGAGATTAGAGTGGTCGAAGAATGCACACTATTTAGTTGTCGGATTTGTTGAAAAGCAAGGCCAGACGTGCTGACACGATTTGGGTGCCATCAAAACTGGAAAGCTGGATTAAAGTAAAGATCGATGTCTCAGCAGTTAGATATAGAGGACAGTTCTACTGAACTCTGCATAAAATGTTGAACAGTGGATACTTCAGCAGCACTATTTGCATTTGTATGAAGCTAAAGAAATGGCCTAATGAACAGAGAAAGAGAAAATATGTACATTTCTAGTTTTCCTTTTCATTTTAGATTCCCTTCTTAAATATCTGACATTACAATGTTTCCCAATTCTAATGCCCTCTGCACAATAGTAAAGGGCATTGCAATACACCCAGCAATACAAAACATGGCTACTACAGTATATAGATGCTAAGGAAAAAGCAAGCAAAAAATGCTCTTAAAATGTATTATAGTTTGTGTCTCAGTCTATAGTTACAACAGCTATGATAAAAGACAAACGTCAACCATTTCACAACATTTATGATGAGTCATATTTTCAAAAACAATATTCACGAGAACTAAAGATTACACCAGTTTATGTGAATATACAGTATATATACACACACATGATACACACAGACACACAGCGGGATTCAGAATCACTGAATTGCTCTCAGGGAAGAGAACCAGAGCGCTGAAAATTGAGCCCAGATTGCAAACTTCATGTAGTTCATGAGCTCATGACCACAACGCCCATACAGCCTGGCAAAGAAATCAGAAATGAGGCTGTTAAGTGCATTCTTTAAACTAAAGTAGGGAGGTGCAATACACACAGTATCCTGACTAACTCTCCCATCCTTGTCGCTACATTAGTTATAATTGTTTGAAGATATTAGAGATTCATCCACATCTAAATGGAACGAAAAGCAACAAAAGGGAACAAAAAAATTAAACACTCACACAGCAAACAAAGGAAGCCGAACATTGCTGATTTATGAAAGAGCATCTCAACCCATGAGAAAATAGGTTAAGTAAAAGCCAAGATACGATATCCAAGCAGTGGAATTACAAGAACTGCTGTAAAAGAATATTTTAAATAGTGGACCCTAAAGTACTACAATTAAAAGTAATTGAATCTCCTCCTTCTTTTAACTGCATATTTTGTACTGGAGCATTGAAAATGCTAGCAATTGTTTTATTAACCATAAGGTGTTAGAATACATATCACAGTTTGAGCTAACAATCTAACTTTAGTGGCTTAGTGTACATAACACCTTCTCCTTTGGCAACCTGTTTCAGCTTAGTCTACAGTAATAAGCAATGTCACTGTTGCAGAATAAATCACTTGTTGCCGAGTGACAGAAAACGTGCTGTAAGGAATGAATTCAGTGAAACCAAGCTCGGTACAGGCCAACAGAGAAATGTTAATTTACTTAATTTATTATTGAAGACAGGCACACTGCCATGCTGCTACTGACATTTGTGCTTCAGTGATCCCTATATACTATCATCCACGCAACTCTGGGATAGTGGTTCCAAACTGCAAAACCCTTTTATTTAGGAACTTGAATATTTTATGCAGCTGCAGCACAACACATTGAAGACGTACTAGGATTTACTATCCCTGCACAAGTGAAATGTTGGTAATGCCAACAAAAAATAAAGTAAAACCAAATATGAAATATGGAATGGAATAACGAGTACTACTTAAAATTCTCACTCTTAATTACCAGGCCACAATTGTGATGAACAAAAACACTACTGGAAGAAAGCAAGACCATTTTTGCCATCAGTAAACTTTAGACAATAAGGATAGTGTTGAATATACTGACTATTCCAATATTTCTTATCCATTAAGCATTTATTATTCATGGAAAATAAACAACTAATAAATAGACAATGTGATGTTGTAGTCCATTGTAGTCTGTAGTTTTACAAAATTGTACAACAACCAACAACCAGCACCAGTACCACCACTGATGCACAAAAACTCCAGAAAACTTAAAAAACGACAACTGACTCTGGTAAATAAAGAAGAGTTACAAACAAGACGAGGCCATTTGAACCATCTAGTCATTACGATAGCTAGTAGTTAATCGACCCAAATATCTCATCCAGTCATTTCTTGAGAGAAACCAGACTTTTGGCTTCAGCAACACGGTTAAATAGCTTGTTTAAAAAAAAAACAACAAATGCCCAAAGATGGTGACCAGCCACACTGGGCTCTAAGTCCTGTCCTTGGGGTTGAGAAGTTAAACCAAGGTGCTAACTACTTGTTCATTAAATAACTCCATTTCTATGATTAGGAGTGCTAGCCCTGGTATTTTGACAGATTTCACTCTTGCTCTGGTCTACCTAAAGGTTTTCCCTTGATTCAATTCCTGAAGCAATTTCTCATTTATCTACCTAGTCTGCAGTGTAGTGTCCTTGGTAGATGAAATGAATCTCTGTCCCAGAATACAAAGTGCTTTGGGAGCCTTTGGAATGAGAATCGCAATACAGCATTCGGCAAACTGACCATTCCTTGCTTATTCCCAATTTGGTCAGGCCCAGGGATTCCTGGATGGAAGAACAGCAGAGTGGGATGAAACTGAGCCGAATGTTGTTAAGCTCAACTTTCAATTAGCCGTGCAACAGGCAAGGATAGGGAGACGAATCTAGGTAGAGAGTGAGCCTCTCCCTGCCCCCTTCCCAAGTACTGGGTACCCAGCATGGCCTTGTTTTCGTCCTGTAACTCACGCGCCCGGTTCTGTGTCAGCAGTGTGGGAAATGAGGTTCCTTACAGTGGGGTGTGCTGATCACGCAGAGAGAAGAAAGCAGGCTGGACACAGGAAAGATTTGTGTTGTTAGTTTTAACTGATTACTATAGTATATGCTTGTGAGGATGTCATTTGTTTCAGTTGATCAATGATATTTTAGTAATACTTAAACCCAATGCATAAGTACTTTAATTATCATATAACGGTTGGGTCTTTTAACCATTCACACTATATACTGTAGTACATTATGCAACGTTATAGGGTGGACTTGATTATATGAGAATTTGGATTTTCACAAAGGCTCTCTGCACCAAACACTCACACCGATCAAGAACCTACTACATACACACAGCATAATACCCTTCATCAAAAATGCTTGTTCCTGGGGTTATGTGACAATACAGCATACACCTCAAGGTTCTCGGAATATATCATAGGGATTTAAACCCTAATATTTTATGTGAGTAAATAAAACCAGAGAAGAGTGTAAACTACACCTTTCATGCATACAGTAATTGTTACTGTAGTGCTGCATAGAACACTGATCTATAGAAATACGAAGCAGAGAAGCACAAAAGACTGTCTTAACAGTGGGACACAGACCTTTTGTGTTACAAGCTACTTTTCCTATCAGCTGTCTCTAAGACTGCTAGCTGCAACAGCACTTAATGAAAAATGTACACAGTGTGCGCTATGTCAAGTGAGTAAAAGATAATCTCTTGTCATGACACACAGTGCGACCTAACTTGAGTACAATGTAACCCCTGCTCTTTGCTTGCTTCAGTTAATTTCTATTTATCGAGATTTACCCAGCAGCCTGTAATACAAACTTCCTGTAAAAATGAATCACCTTCATCATACAGTACATACATCAGCCATCCACAGTTCACTTGTGGATAAAGAGCTCCACAGGGTCCCTCCAAAGATCTGTATCTTTGCCTCTACATATCCCTATCACTCCCACAAACTCCATTTCCTCCCTATTGCTCTTATCTTTTGCCCTGGTATCTAGTTACAAATTCAATTCAAGCATCTTCACTGGCATGACTGATGAATTACAAAAGCTTACATGCTTTGTTGCAAAAGCATGTAACAATAACGCAGCATCTATAGATGCTGATAATACAAACGGGCCATAAAACATTAACATACAACAATAGAACATTGAGAGACAGGCTCGCTGTTCCTCAGGCTGTGACAGTTGATCACATACTGGGCTGCCAGCTCAGTAGAGCTGCCCCCAGAATAGTCCCAGAATATCTGTCACAGTGCAGTAGAGTGTCTTTGTCTCCGTTTCTCCCCTCTACTCTTTGGGCACCCAGGTCTGTCTGTGTCACCCAGTTTCTGTGGAGAGATTGTGGTCACTGAGTGTGTACTTCATCAGGGGCTGTTTCTTTTTGCTTTTTCTTATCTTTGTCAAATATTTGGCTAGTGTGTGTTGTCTGTTTAGAAATGTTTAGAAACAGAATTCTCTGTTTAAAAAGTCATTTTGCCTCATGTTGGTCCATTCATCAATGGCTTCTTGGCTCACAGACATTTTAGTTTAACCATTTCGCAACAACAACATTCATTAATTCTATTTGCTTATACATTCAATTTTCCCCCCAATTACCAATAAAAACTATACCTCATATTTCATGAGTATGGGAAATCTTTTATTTAACAAATACCTTCCTTCTTAGACATGAAGACACTTTCCATTTAGGACTGTTGATCTTGCAAAATGGAATAATCGCAATTGGCCTTATTTTTTCCAATTTAAACTGTAAATAATTAAATAATTTTATAAATTATTGTTGTTGATTTGGTGACATATATGGTCTCACACACACGCCTATGTTGCGGTTAACTTTACGAAGTATTGTTCAGTTGATTCAAACTCCATAGACTCACTGTAAATAATTTGTTCGATAGGAGTAGATTGTCAAAAATGGATTTTCAATCTCATAAAACACATGCAGACGATGGACTGTGCTCGTTCTCAATTATCATAAATCCGGTCTGTACAAACCAAAACGTGCAAAAGTAGTCTACTTCAAAAATCCGTTTTGTCCAGCAGTACAAGCAGTTGCCTATAGTACATTGGCAAGAAACTTGATACAGTTGAACATAGATTTTGTACAAACAAAATACATACACACTAATAATAAAACAGCACACGATATAGTTGTGTAATACAAAATAAATCGAGCTTATATCTTTTTTTGTATATTAATTTTCATAATATGCTTTAAAATATGACAAATTGTACATACTCAAAGCAAGACAATGTGCATACATTCGCGACTCACCTTTAACTGAATACTTGTGCCGTATTTATTATTTTTGAAGGCAGTTGTATTTTGGTACTTCTGAGGCCGCGAGCGAGCCACATTACCTTTTTGAGAACTCATACCAAAAGAGAAATGTAAAAATTCCTACTTAAAAAAAAGAAAAAAAACACTCCGCTACAAAAACCACATGGCCCTATTTTAAAACAAGCAGCAGTTATCTTAACCCGGAACAAAACGGCGTGAGATATGTCGTCATTGACCCCGGCAGTGTTGGGGTTTTTTCTCTTCAGTCCCCTCTGTTCAAGCGCTGCATTACAATTGGTCTACACTTTCCTTTCCCTGCACCTTCTGTACTCCACTAGGTCCTAGCATTACGTCATTCAGCAGAAACGGGGTACGCCTTCTCGAACGTGATTGGCTGCGTGTGTGTCATAGTAATCTCTCATTGGTGATATTGAGTGGCTGTCACACTGCCGAGAAAAGCGGCTACGTCATTCTGCAGCTGTGAAGACCCACCTTCTCCGTCGTCCCCTCCTCTTCTCTGTCTTTAGTTGCCGTTGGTGCCTTTGTGCACCAGTCAAAACCTCTTTCGATTTTATTGGTGGGGAAACCTTTCAGTTTATTTGGAATCCGTCTTCGGCTTCAGTGTGTCGCCTCCGAAAACAGAAGGCAGCTTCAGAGATAGAGATCGAGAGTGTGCGGTGGGTTATTGTCTAGCGGGACTAGGGCAAGTCTGGGATTGGCAGGGGTCGCGTTTGGGGGTTAAAGCAGGTCGGCAGCTCGTCCCTGTCGCTTTCAAAGTCCCGCATGAAAGCCAGTAAAATTGACCCACATGTTTACAGGGTTATTTGCTAAGAGCGAGGCTGAGCCGCGGTGGGTTTTATTTAACCAGCGAGTCGGCGCAGCGAGCGACAGGACGTAGCGGAGCCCCAGTGCGAAGAGCCCACTCGCTGTCTGGGAGGTGGGAGGGGGAGTCGGGAAACACGGAGCGCTGCTGCCGCTACTTCTTCACAATCGCCGCGTTTTCTCTTTTTTGCACCGGACCGCTAAGGTTTGTATAACTTTTTCCTCACCCCTCCCCAGTCTGTGTTCTTGTGTGCGATCTCTCTCCTGTCTGTGTGCAACCGATGGCGCCGGAGTCTCGAGCCGGAACGCCAGAAATAAATATCTTTTTGTTCTCTCAGTGTTTTCCCCACTCTTGTTTGTTTTGGTTCATTTGGATTCTGGTCTTTGGGTATCGTTAACGTTTTTATAGCGATATTAGGATGTTTCGAACACGGGTCGGAGCCTTGCAGGGAAAAAACAAATCAAGTCCTTGATGTAACTGAGTATCCGCTGCGGATCTGATGCTCCTCAAACTGTCTGCACTGCCGCTGCTGATGGTGGGTACCAGGGTCGATCGGGACTGCTGAACGTGGCAGTAAATGCTGATAATTAATCGCTTACTTCAAAATCCACGATCCTGGGAGACATCCTAAGAGATCCCGAAGATCCCGGATCGCAAGAGATCCATGCAGGTGGGGGGATGTGAGAGGAGACTGAAATTCCTAGGTACAAACTTTATCTGGGATATCTGGTGTTTTGAGCGTCTGAACTTTGTTCAATCACAAGTTCAGCGATATCTGCTGTTCCATAAGGGTTTCTAGCATGGAATTGGAGCATTTTTTTTATTATTTAAACAATGGTGCTGACCCATAGTCGTTTTGCCTGTAACCAGGCTTGTTTAACGCATAGTCAATGCGCAGGCGTTTTTTGTCCTGAAGTTTCGTTACATTTCCAGGACTTCAGAACTGTCCTAAAATAGTGGTCAGCTCCCATGGTGGCGGTATTAGGGTTATAGTAGTTTGTAGCTACGTTAAAATGATCACCCAGCCTGCTTGAACGTCTTCAACTTTTTTGGTTAAATACGAGTCGTTCTTCCGTCATGATACAGCTCGAAGCCTTTGTTTCGATTTTACGTCTAGTAAACAAAAAAGACTTGTTCCAGATCCACATGAATGTGGATGGCACAGTTGGTGTCCTGAATTATAGGAGAGCTTTTTCTTTCAGCTATTAACAGCACTTAGAGCTCAGCTCATTATTGCCCCAGCACAGCTATTCAGTAGCATAAAAGCCATCACCTCCCTGAGCAGTTCTCGGTGTGGGGGAGACGACTGCAGTCGATATTATTTTCGATGAGATGAGATTTTAAATGCTTTCCTTGGAGAAAGGAGGCCCCTCTTGGAATTCCTGAAAAGCATTGTTTCTCTGCAGCCCATCACTTCCTATTCTGTGGAGGTCAGGAAGCTACATCACTAGACCCAGTTCAAACAAGGATGTCTAATCAGAAGAGCTCTGTTAGTCATTTCTCTGATAAGGCTTTACTCCGCTGACTCAGTCAGTCCTTTAGAATTTCAGTTCTGGAGACAGAAAGAGCAACCATTAACATGTCTGTTAAACTACCCACACTATTTAAAAAAAAATCAAATCCAGATTTTTGTAGCTGTTTATTCCAATAAATGTTAACCCAACTGCAGGACTGACTAGGACACTATGACCTTGTAAGCAGTAGAAGTGAAATCTACAATGGCCCCTTTTCGGATCACTGTCACATTCTCCAGATTCGCTGTCGTTTCTGGTCACGGTGAGGTTTTGCCGCGTTGAACTAAGTCATTTCCCAAATTCGAACCGAGCTGTGTGAAATTTCAGAACCCCGACATATTGGGCGGAGCGGTGGCTCTGTGGCTAAGGATCTGCGCCTGTGGCTGGAAGGTTGCTGGTTCAAATCCCGCAGCCGGCAGAGGAATCCTACTCTGTTGGGCCCCTGAGCAAGGCCCTTAATCCCAACTGCTCCAGGGGCGCCATACAATGGCAGACCCTGTGTTCTGACCCCAGGCTCTCTCCCTGTCTGTGTGTCTCATGGAGAGCAAGCTGGGGTATGAGAAAAGATCATTCCTAATGCAAGAAATTGTAAAAGTGATATTATTATTATTGTTTCAGTTCAGCCTGTATTCAGGGTGTAAGGGGGTAGATGGAGGGCAGTTCCAGCTACCTGGGTTCATCTCCACAGTCTTTGTGGAGTCTGCATGTTCTGCCTGGGTTTGTGTGGGTCTTTACCACATCCTCTGGTGTCCTCCCACTGCCCAGATGCATTAAGTGCAGCGCCGATTATCCGTTTTCCACAGAGGGTGTTTCAAAGGGGATTCATATCGCTACAATGTGTGCAGTACAGCTTGTGCTGGCTATCGGATAGCAGAAAAATAAAAAGCAGCCAAAGAGCCTAATGGGCTGAACACCTCCTCTCACTGTGGCCTGGTGTCTTGATACACAAACACTGTTGCAGTTATGTGCAGCAGTGTTGACCTTTCTTATTGCGGTACACTGGTCCTAGTATAAAAGATTTCTGGGGTTACTATGCATGAATGTTTATTTCCAATTGCTTTTAATATTTATCATCTGTTTTAAAAGCCGTTCACATTTTTTGCACCTTTTCTGGATGCACTGGTCAATGTCATTATTTCATTACCCTTTCTAAATGGAATACTTTGGGTGTTTTTATTTATTAGAGATGAGCGGCAATGTGTGTTTATTGCTCTGCTTGTATTTCTGTAAATGTGTTTTTTTCTGCTTTAACAAACACAGTTCTTCTAGATTAGTCAGATATTCACATAGAGATCTGTGTGATCTCTTGATTTATTCACTATGTTTACTGTAATTATGCTTCGGGCCATATTAAGAGTGCTTTTTTTAATACACAGCTAAGGTATTCTCTGGACCAAAAACCTGACTCATCTGAAAACTGATTGTGGGAAAAGGTGTTAAAAACTGTATTTCCAACACTTTTTAACAGCACTGTGAATATGACACTTGTAATTGTGTTAACTGGAAAGGATTTAAACTAGCTAGAATGTAAGTGTGTGCATTACTGTGAGCGAATTTATAAGCTTATCTCATACTATAATATTGATAAACGCATGCAGACCAGCTGTCCTGTACACAGGCAGTGCTTTCAGTTGTTCCAAGGTTATGTTTGTTTTGAAAAGCAGTCCTGTACTGCCGGTCACTCAGTGCTTGCCCTGTTGTAACCTGACAGCCGTGTGTGAACTGTGATCTATATTAACGTCTTTGTGCGTTTTGTTTCTTTCTGTATTTCAGAAGAGAAAAATGAATAATCTTTCACTGAGTGAGCTATGTTGCCTGTTTTGTTGCCCTCCGTGTCCGAGCAAGATTGCGTCCAAATTGGCCTTTCTGCCTCCCGACCCCACCTACACGCTGATGTGCGACGAGAGTGGGAGCCGGTGGACGCTGCACCTCTCGGAACGGGCGGACTGGCAGTATTCCGCTAGGGAAAAGGATGCCATCGAGTGCTTCATGACCCGGACCAGTCGTGGGAACAGGATAGCCTGCATGTTTGTGCGCTGTTCCCCCAATGCCAAGTTTACCCTCCTCTTCTCTCACGGCAACGCTGTGGACCTGGGCCAGATGAGCAGCTTTTACATCGGACTGGGCTCGCGGATCAACTGCAACGTCTTCTCCTACGATTATTCTGGCTACGGCGCAAGCTCTGGGAAGCCGTCTGAGAAGAACCTCTACGCTGACATTGACGCTGCCTGGCAGTCCCTCAGAACACGGTAAGGAGACATTTAGGCTGTGTGGACTGGAGTTTAAACCGGTGCTCATTTCTCAGAGGGGACCTTCAGTAAATGGCACTTTCATTTCCTTTAAAAGCAACAATTAACTGAGAGGCCATCTACTTACTCCTATAGATTAGCCTGTCATTGCTATAATTTACTGTGCCTCACATATCATCTCCTTATATTCTATGTTGTTCAGTAAATGCATTCAACCTTCTTTATCTCTTAACACAAATACACAAATATTTGATGATATATGTTAGAAGGCCGTATGTTTTATTTAAATGAGCAGTGTTTTTCCCCCATCCCTTGTTTGCCCGGTGTTTGTAGGATGGGCATTTATTCTTCCTGTAATCATAGGCCCATATTTGATCTTGCCTAAATATAGGAGAAGTAGACATATCTTGTGTGCAAGCCTATATATCCAGAGTCAATAAGCGACTTTTACCAGAAACCTGTAGTAAGCTTAGAACACAGCTCGGTCAATATTATATCTAAAAGCTTCCTTCAGTTTATCAGAAAGGCTTTGGGGCTTCCTATTGCTTATTTTATTACTGTCCTTTCACTATGGAATGGAGCTGAAATCCGAAAATGCCTTTTCCTTTTATTTTTGTGAACCTTCAACATTGTTGATCTATTTCAGCTATCTTTAAAATTTCAGCCCGAGTATTTGTTTATCGTATCTTGCTCCAGTAAGTGGAAAAGGTTTCATATATCTACCTGCAGATCTTTGCTTAACTGTTATTTATCAGAAGCTAACTGTGTTTCTACGTTGACTAAAACTCTTCATTTGCTTTTAGTATTTTTTCATCACAGCTTTCTAAGTGACGTAATTTACTTAATTAGCCTTAGGGAATGCTTGGAGTTAACATAGGGAGAAACATTATCCCCATTGTCTCTTTAATTATGTTGTGCTTTACTTTGAAGATAAATTCGTGATAAAAGGGGCCTATGGATCAGATAGTGTAGAATTTGATTAAAAACATTCCTTAAGGGATCATTGTTGGAACACTTTATAGCTGGGAAAAAATAACTAATTGAGATGTTGTCACAGAAGCTTGTCTGAGGGGCTCATTGTAAGATGAGTTGTAGACTCACACTTCTCAAAGGCTTAGGCCTCCACACCAGATTCTAAAATGTGATAAGCAGCTTACGTATGAGTCTGATTGACAGCCACATTAAACTTTGACTTGTCCTATATTTGTTAGCCTGTGTGATTCTAAACTAATCTAAAGTTGCTTTTCAAGGTGATGGATGTTTAATAATGAGTAAGAGCCATTTTGTGGGGAAAAATCCCCCTTTTTCCATTTGAAAAGAATTCTACATTTAATCCTAAAATATTTATGTATACCTTTTTTAACACTTGTAAGCCTTATTGTTTTTACAGATCTATAAAGTTGATCTTTTTCTTGCTCATTAAAGAAGGACCTGAGATCAGGTATAATGCATATGGTGTTGAGTTGCAGAAGTGTGTCAGTGGAAGTTAATGTTTTGTGATCTTTGATTGATGGGAATTCCATGTAAAGTACATGAGGAGTACCACTGAGCTTCTATTTGTTTGACTGGTCCCAATAAATTTCTCAGTTCAAAAACAACCACAAACCACAGTTCAAAAGAACATTCTATTAAGTTAGTCAAAGTCTGCTATGTTGCGTATCATTATAAAATTCTGAAAACAAATCATACCCTACCTCAAATTTGCTGTCTATAGAAAAATTAAGCATCCATGGAAAATAAAGAGCAATCACAACCTAAATGCAGAATAACAGCAAAGTACTCTGTGTTAAAGTAAGATCGATGCTCTTTCTTAGAATTGTTTAATGATTGAATTAACTCCCAATTAAACCTGAAATATAATCAATTTCTATTTTCTCCATTGAATGGGTCACATACCATACACAAGATGAAGGTGGAAGCCTATACCCTGGCTGGGGGTGTTCTCCATGAGGATTACTCCATGTGGAGCCTCGTGATATGTACAGTATTTAATTACTGGGAAAGAAAAAAACTTGCACATGATCGTGATGATCGGGGAATGCTCAGCAGCTGATCCGGGGCCCATATAATGACAAACTTTGACCCAGCTGTAAATTCCAATCCTCACGGACTTTTAGAAAGAAGCCTTTGAGAAGGAAAGCCCCCCGGTCACGTACTGGGCTTGAATTTTGTGGTTGTTTGTGGGCCAGAGTTTGAGCTGTCATCTGACCCTATTAGGTTTCAGTGCAGTAATTCAGGTAGAGGCAATATCTGAGATGCAGAAAAGTGGACAAACGGATCAAATCAAAGTTTATTTATCAAATGCACAACAATACAGCATGCAGCAGTAGTTGCTGGCAGTGAAATGTCTTTTCTGCGAGCTCACAAGAATCACAGAAATCACAAAGACGCAAAAATCACAAAGTTGAGGTTACGAAAATAAGGTTACATAATAATAATAACATCACTTTATTAACTCTTTACAATTTCTTGCATTAGGAATTGTCTTTTCTCATACCCTAGCTTGCTCTCCGTGAGACGCACAGACAGGGAGAGAGAGCCTGGGGTCGGAGCGCAGGGTCTGCCATTGTACGGCGCCCTTGGAGAAGTTTGGGTTAAGGGCCTTGCTCAGGAGCCCACGGAGTAGGATTCCTCTGCCGGCTGCGGGATTTGAACCAGCAACCTTCCAGCCACAGGCGCAGATCCTTAGCCACAGAGCCATAGATGTAATAGAAATGGAATAAAACTCAATATGAGTAGAGCTGCTATGTATCCATGGTGTGTGCAGTATACAGTATACAATTAGTGCGGTTATGCTGAATACAGTGAAAACTGTGTGTCCATGTAGCCATTACAGGTGATCTGCTAAAGGAGCTGCAGGTTGGCTATTTAGCAGTCTTATTGCCTGCAAGGGCAAAGCAGAAGTAAACACAAAGGTTCACGTCCTGTGGCCTTATGGCGCATGTTCCTCTGTGGGTAATACGCAGGTTCGGTGCAAGGAACAGCTGAGGTGTAAGAGCATTCAAGTCCACGTTCCAAATCTCCTCCAGGTTCAAAATAGCCCGAATCTGCCGTGTTAAAAATCTATACAGAGCTCTGTGTAGTCTTAAGTTTCTTCTGATCCCAATTTATTTTTACATAAATTACAGATTTGTAGATATAGACTACCTTGGAGTGCAACTGAAGGAGAAATGTGTGCTTTGTTCTACTTTGCGTTGTGTAGAAACTTGGGTATCTAATTAGAATAAGAACCTAATCCACCTATTTAAACAGTGTTTAATATTACTCTTTGTTCTGGTTTGACTTGTTATCCTGGTCTTTGATCAAATATAACGCTGACTGTATAAACTCCTGCTCCAAACATTTTGAGTAGAAAACAAACAAGGATGTTGGTGCCTTCTGTTCACAGAATTAAAAATGATTTCCCGGTCACCCAAATGGTAGTATTGCTCATTACAGCTGTGGAAGAAGCTATTAAGTAATGGACTTGGTAGTGTGCCATACTGTAGCTATTTTAGAATAAAGGCTTTAAGTGAAAAGTCAATCAAACATCAGAGAAAGCAGGTCTTGTACACTAGTAAGAGGAAATGCCTACTTCAAAAAAGGAACTATGTAATCAATAAAACTTTACTTTGTTCCTCCTCAGCTGCATACTGTTACTGTTCTAGTTTGGAGGCATTATTGGACATTAGCCCTTTTATGGTTTCACACATTGGCATTTATTTCAGTGTTTGATTTTTGTTATCTCTTACAGCACACATCCTGCTCATGTTTGCAAAAATATGTAATTTAATCTTCTTTAGTCAAAGCCCAATAAAGCCATGGTTATCTAATTATCCTGGTTTGGGAAGAAACCCCATGGGATTTTGGAAAAGTCCTCTTAAAGCAGCTGATTTAATTACCATTGAATGTGAAATTACAGAATCCTTTATAGCTGTTCCAGAAAAGCCCCTTTCAGGACAAATACACGCATTGAAAATGATTCAGGAACAGAATTTGCTATCGGAGTTACAGTCCAGACGTTGAATTATTTTGTTTTGACGTGATCAATGTGGACTTGGTTGTTAGGTTATTTGTTTTTTTAAGATCCTACACAGTGAGTTGCTTTGGAATTAAAAACATTTCACTTTATGAGTGGTTAAGTATCGTAAGTTGCACTTTAATTTGGTTATGTGAACTGCTTATTTAGATTGGATAAAAAGCTGCATGTACAGTATGATAGATTAAATCATCTCATCAAGAGAAACCCAAAAACGATTAGACTCTCTGTATAAGATGTACTTAAGGAATATTGTTTTTAAGATTAGTAAGATTTAGTACTGGGTAATGTCAATCATTATGAAAACACTGAGCATTTTGTCACACCCACATCTACCTAGCCTGTGTCAGCTCCTAAGTGCAGATCCAGCCTGTGTTATTAGCCAGGTTTTTCATATACAGCTTGATGCTGGGGTGTAATTTGACTGTGTAATATATGTCGCCAGTTACAAACAAGTTTCTGAGTCTGTCTAGCCTTGAAGATCCCAAGAATCAAATATAGAAACCAACAGTTGTCTACGTATTGTTTTTCAAGAAAATTACACCTTGCCTTGGACATGCCTAAGCTGTTATTACAATACACATTTGTGAGCTATTACATTACCACCAGCGGTAGAGATGCAGTATTGCTAATGCTTGGTGAAGTGAACTCTCATAGTCCTTAAGACTGGAAAAGATCTTTTTTTCTGTGCAGTCTTTATAGAAGGATTCCTGGGGCAAGGCTCTTTGAGAAAGATTTGTTTTTATTACATTTTTGAATAGTTTTGAATTGAATGAATGCCTACTCAGTGTTTTGGCAAGTTGTTCACCATTCCAGTTTGAATTTCTGTCTTTTCCCCCCAAATACTTGTACTTTAGTTGGCTGTGAAACAGGGGTGCCGTGGAGTTTTGGAAAAGTCACACCGGAAGAATAAAAAAAAATGAATACATTCACTATTGCTCATGGAGTAACCCAAGTGTCGTGCTGCTCGTATGAGAGAGGG